GTCGAGGCTGCGGTGGCCGGCCACTGCACTCCAGTCTGGGCGACAGAGTGAGACTCCAACTCAAAAAAAAAAAAAAAAAAAAAAAAACAAAATTCAGCATTTACTGAGAAGGTACAAGATCTTTATCCTTTAACTTTATTTGGAAATACAAAAACTGATACATATAGTACCAACGGTATATAAATCTTGAGGCAGGATCAAGAACAGGGAGAGTGAAATGAGCTCAACACACCCAGAAAGGAGAGTTAGAGTCAGGTTTGAGAGGTGGGGTCACACTGACATAGACACATAGTAAGAAACAACATGACATAAAGGAAGAGGACAGTCAGTGACTTAGAATTAAATGACGCAGTCACCTGCCAGGCTGTTCCCCAGCTCACCTGTTTCCCTCCCTGTAGCTGCTCCTACCTGACCCACAGAAGTGGACTGCCAACAGCCATGTCTACCCATCATGGTCACCCCTTGCCCAGAGCCCACCCACACAGATTGGTCCAGATTGGGGACCAGACCCCAGCTGACCCAAAGTTCCCTCTTGAGGAATCTGGAAAGAGAAATTAGTCTCTCTCCAATTAGCTGGACCTATGACAAAAAAAATTGTGGGAGCTGCCAACAACCAAATTTTCTGCCATGTGGATAGAAGCAAATGAAAGCAAAGCAGTATTATGTGACACAGTGGTCAATAAAGATTTCATAATCATACTCTGCCATGTCATATAATTGCTCAGTTAATTGGCCTTAAATTAACAATGTAGCTAAAGCAACCAAGGCAGCTACATGATCAGCCCCGGTCATGCTCTGCTTGTCTTGCAGCCACAGGTGTCTTCACCTGCAGACTGGCCCCCGTGAAACCAGAGCAGGTGCCCCGTCAGCAGCCCCAGTTCTCCAGACTGTCTGGAATTAGCCTGTTGCCCATAGACCCAGCTGCCTGGGAGACTGGAGATGAGTTCTGGGCACCCCTGGGCCTCTAGAACAAATGATCTCTGAGCCACGCCTGACCCTCTTGCCACTCCCATGCTGTCTTCCTCACTCCTGCCCTCTTCAGCCCACTCAGAGCCTGATTCTCACTCTTTTACTCTCACATATTGTCACCACACGCCACTTGGACCCGCACCCTCACATAGGATTGAGCCCCGCACACGCCCCACCCCCCAGGCACAGATCTCCTCACTCCCCTCACACGGAAGGCACTGGACAAGCCAGCGAGGATGTAAGGGATGAAAGAAGGAAGGGCCTAGCTCACCGAGGGCCCAGTTGAATGTTGCTCAAGTCCCAGCACGTCCTATATCGTAGCACACAAAGATACAATAAATTTCCTACATGCCACCTTCCCACTCAAAAAATTACTTCCAGAAAATCATCTGTATCAACTACTGTAGGTAGAAGTGAAAGGGGCTAATTTAAAATTTCTGTGCCACACCACAAGACAATGAAAGGCAACTAGGAGCAATTTATAAGAATTAATTGACAGTGAATCTAAGAAAATACTTGGACATTACAGTTTTCAACACAACAAAAACTGGAATAATTTCTAAATTTAATTTAATGATTTTTGAGAGAGAGGAAGGTGAAGAAGATAGGAGGTAAAACAGAGATGCCCCATGAAACTGGGCCACAGAGGAAGTAACTGGAGGCCAGGTCAGTCCTGAGGTCAGTTCTCAAAACAGCATTCCAGTAGATGTCATGGATGAAGGGGATGGGAAGTAGCTAAGGAGGACAACAAAGGGGTGTAACCCAAGTTACCATGGGCAGACTCCTACAGCCTGTGCAAAGGTCTGAGGAGTCGATCTTGGTGCACACTGGACTCTTCTCTCAGCCATGCTGAGCTTTCTCTCACTCCAAGTTGTTCTGCTCCCTGAAGCCACAGGGAAACCAGGAGCCAAGAGCAAGAGCCCAATCCTTTTCACATCTCACCTAGATTACAGAAATAGCCTCCTTCCATATCCAATCATCTTTGCTACACAGTCCTCAGAATGATCTTTCTAGAACCCACATATGATCAACTCACTACCTGACTTCACATGTTCCCACAGCTGCCAGTCAGGTACAGGATAGAGTTTATACTCCTTCACTGAGCCTGTAAGGCCTTCCATCATCTGACCTCTTCATTTTGATTTCCCACTGCTTACCATTCAATCAAAACTCATTCAACTGAGGCACCTACTCTGTGCTAGACACTGTTTTAGGTGGAAGGAATAAAATAATGAGTAAAACAGTCAAAATCCCAATCTCCATGGAGCTCACATTTTAGTGATGGGAGACACACAATAAACAGACCTTTGAATATGCATATGTTAGATACAAACAAGTGCTTGTTCAGCACTTAACCAGAATAAGGATAAAGAGCAATAGGGGCACGGTTTTAGACAGGGTAGTCAGAAAAGGACTCGCTGAGGAGATAATAAATGATCAAAATGGAAATGAAATGAGGGGAGAGTCATGAGAATGGGGAAAGAATGGTCAGAAAGAGGGCCCCCCAAAGCAGAAGCATGCTTGGGTTATTTTGAGGCCCGGCAAGAGGATCAGTGTGGGAAGCGTAGGGGCACTGGAGAAGATGCAGTCAGAGAGGCAGATGGGGGCAGATCGCCATATGGGGCCTAGCGGGCAAAGAAGACTCAACACTCCCTGAACACATGGTTTTCATGCCCCTGTGGTCTAGGGTGCCTTTCCCCACTTTTGTCCATCTGGAAAACTGCTGTGGATCTTTCAAGCTCAGCTTTCTCTGTGAAAGCTTCTGGGAACCCCCAGCCATCTAGAGTTAAGTGCTCCTGCCTTGACTACCTCAGCTCCTTGAACACACTGACCTGTAAAAATCTATTTATGTATCTGTTTCCCACAAGTCAAGGAGGGTATGAATCATCTACAGCTAGCGTGGTGCTTAGCATATATATATGGCAATGGCCAAAACCATTTGTTGAGTTAAACTGCTGTTTGAACTAAAGCATTAGTCATCAAGAGAGGAAAAACAATGTAAACTTAGCCACAAAAAATTTTAAGATGGAAATTATCACACGTACAGGGAAAACTTCAATTGTACCAAAAGATCTAAATATATATGGCATAGTCATAAATAAATTAAAAAAGTATAGCCTCATACTGCAAAAATAATAAAAAGAAGTTGCCCATATGGGGAAAAAGACAGTATGTAGAGAAACAAGACAAGTAGGTTATTATAAACTCAATTACCAGCTAATTTCCACCCACAAGTTGAAAGGGAGTGTCCTCTGATTATAAGAAATCTAGGACATCAGATGGTCCAAGAAAGGTAGGCCATTCTGCCAAAGATAAACTCTTGCTAGAGATAATAAAAATTCCAACATTTATGGAGGGAAGAGGAAAGGGAAGGAAATGTTCTTACCTCTGCATCCAAAGTGGCTGAAGCCACAATCAATCGAAGATCTCCTCGCTTTTTCTGAATCTAAAAAAGGAAGACATTAGAAAACAATGATAACAGTGTAATACTACTAATGGATGAGATAATCTGATATCTCAAATCTACTTCAAAATCATCCAGGGTGTGTATTTTTTTTTCTTTTTGGTCAAGGAGAAGGGGGAACTTACAGATGAAACAAGACTGAACACAAATTAGTAACTGCAAAAGTGGACCAGGTATGGTGGCTCACATCAATAATCCCAGAACTTTGGGAGGCTAAGGCAGAAGGATCGCCTAAGGCCAGGAGGTCAAGGCTGCAGTGAACTATGATCACACCACTGCACTTCAGCCTGGGCAACAAAGCAAGACCCTTTCTCTAAAATAAGAAGAAGAAGATGAAAAAAAAAAAAAGTCACAAGTAAAAGAGAGAGGTCATTATACTATTTTCTCTAATTTTGTAAATGTATAGAATTTTCCAAAACGAAAAGTTAAAAAAAAATTATAGAAGTATAAAGTAGCTTTAAGATCCAATTTTGAATTTACTGAGACTAAAACCTTTTTTTCCTGGCATCTAAGTTTCAGAATAGTCTGAATCTACATGCATACAGCTAAAATATGAAAAAATATTTTTAAAGCAAACAAATAATAAATGATAATACCAAGACAGAAACATGGATAAAGAATACAAATAATAAATGATAATACCAAGACAGAAATATGGATAACGAATATTAACAAGTATTCACAGAAACAGGCATAGGAGAAATGATTGAATAAGCTAGAAAAAAAATATATAATAACAATGAGATTTTCTTTAATCTATCACTTTGGCAAGGATTTACATTTTTAAGGCTAATATTCAATGTTAACAAAGATTCAGTGAAATAGACTCTCTTAAACTGTCCTAAAAAAAAGTAATAACCTCATGAGATAATTTCTCATAAGTATCAAAAAAGTCTAAATCTTTGGCCAAGGTATAAAACAATCATGCAAATAACAATAATAACAAGCACAGACTAAGGCATGTGCGTCTCCAGAGTCCCTTTACACAGTCCCCACTGTACACAGATGCCTGGCTTTGGCGGCCAGGATCCTCTGAAATCCAGCCTCCCTCCCCTCTCCTAGCTGTAAACTTCCTCCCAAAGGGGGCATCTTTTTCTAATTTGCACAGAGGTATCTCATAGTTTAGTTTTGACCCTATACCAGGTACCATTCTAAAGATTTCCCATTATCATACTTAAGCCTCACAACAAGTTATGACATACAACAACCCTGTCCAGTGGAACTCTCTTCAGAGATGAGCAGGTTCTATATTTGTACTGTCCAATGCAAAAGCTACTAGGCACATGTGGCTATCAAGCCCTTGAAATATAGCCAATGTGACTGAGAAAATGAGTTTTTTTTACCTTATTCTATTTTCATTAACTTATATCTAAATAGCCACAAGTGGCCAGTGGCTACCACATAGGAAAGTGTACCAGCACAGATACAGAGATTCATATTTTCTCCATTTTAGAGGTGAGTCAACTCAGCAGAATCAGAATTTTAATCCAGGCCGTTTGACCCAAAGCCCATGTTCTTAATCACCCAGTACTACCACCTCTTTCTAGATTCCTGTGATTGGGAATTTGTCCAAAGAAAACAATCAGAAAATATGGGAAGTGATAGTAAGGGCGACACAAGATTGGCTAGGAATTGTCATTGTTGAAGCCAGATGATGGGTATGTGGGGATCCCTTAGGGCCTTCTCTCTACTCTGGGGTATGTTTGAGACCTTAATAATAAAAAGTTAAAGGAAAGAAATGGAAATGCCACACAGTTCATTACAAAGGTACTCACTGCAACAGTATTCAAAATCTGGAAGCCATATAAATGACTAACAGTAAGGGAATCACTAAATACTTCATGGTAGAGATGTGATTATATAGTCATTAAAAATAGTATCTTCAGCCGGGCTCGGTGGCTCAGTCTGTAATCCCGCATTTTGGGAGGCTGAGGTGAGTGGATTGCCTGAGCCTGAGGGTTCAAGAACACATAGGCAACTTGGCGAGACCTCATCACTACAATAAATCAAAAAAATTAGCCGGGCGTGGTAGCATGCACCTATAGTCCCAGCTATTTGGAAGGCTGAGGTGGAAGGATCGCCAGAGCCCAGCAGGTCGAGGCTGCGGTGGCCGGGAACATGCCACTGCACTCTAGTCTGGGCGACAGAGTGAGACTCCAACTCAAAAAAAAAAAAAAAAAATAGTATCTTCAAAGAATATATAATGACACAGGGAAATGATCATGATGTAATGTAAAGGAAAATATATAAGATACAAATTAGCATATACAATCCAATCCCTCGTATACCAAACAGATGTAAACGCACACACACACACACACACACACGCACAGATACATACAGAAAAGAGAAAACATACCAACAATCTCTCAGAGATTTACTCTGAGTGGGATTACGAATTACTCTAATTTTTTCCTTGGTATTTTGTTGGATTTTCCTAATTGCTACAATTACCTTCTTAATCAGGTAACAAAACAAAACCACAAAAGATAAAAATCTGGCAGTGAAGTCATACCTTTTTTAGCAAGCCAATGGCAATGTCAGTGTACATGGTCCTCTCATGGGCTTCATCCAGCATGATGGCACTAAGAATCAGAGGGAAGTTCTCAGTGAGTCTAAACAAACCACCCCACATAATCTCATCTAGACCACAGAAAAATCGCTGGGTACTCGGTTAATATAACCACCTGATACCAGAAGTAAACTTCAGTCACTCTTCTTTGAAAATGAGGTAATTTTTAAGCTATTAAAAATGGTAACACTGACATGCTGTGATTTTTAAAAAGGTGTACTTATTGCTATACTTAAAGTCTTACCATCCCCATTGAATTCCAATAGGATTTAATATTTGATTTTACATAACAACATAACCTATAACCCCACAGAGCACATAAAGATCAGAACAAGGCCCAACCACCTGAAGACTAAACTGATGAAACAGTCAACAAGGCAGGTAACTACAGCTGTGACACGCGTGTACCAGGGACATCCTTTCTTAAATGCCAGAGCCTGAGGGAGTGGGGGGGGTAGCTTTAATGCTATGAATGTTAGACAAGATATGCAAGGGGGGAGAAAGTGATAAATATATATTTGGATTCTGTATTACATTCAACAAAACACAGGCCAGTAGTTCTCTGCAGTCACCATCAAGCCTAGGGCGTAACAGGCAAGATGAAAAGGATAAGTACTTAAACGATGACAGGGATTTCGAAGTAAGGGGTCATACTACCTAACTTCTGAGAAAAACATCAAGGGTCCCAGCAGCCAAGATCAAGAGAAAAGCTCTGGGGCAGCTGAACACAGATGTGAATCCCAGATGTTGTTACAAACGCTTCTCAATCTATTTGAGGGCTTTGGAAACTTATCACACGAAAAACACATTTACCTATAATTCGTTAACAATGGATCAACCATCATTTCCCTGACCAGCATTCCATCAGTAAGAAACTAAAAAATAAAAACACAAAGTTTTAGAAAGAATTAATTTATATTACATATTAATAATTTTCTTAAGTTCAAGTACAGCTTTGTAAGGTTCAAGTACAACCTCTCCCCCAGCAAGTATACAAGTCAGTTCCCATAAAAGACTGTGAGGAAATGCCCCAAAATTTTCGTTATCAAGTTGTGGAATCGTTCACAAAAGACTTTACACACAGGTTCCTCTGTGGGGACTGCAAATCTTTTAGCAGAATTCCACCTACATTTTTTTTTTTTTAAGTCAGAGTCTCACTCTGTCTCCCAGGCTGGATGTCCACTGCAGCCTCAACCTTCTGGGCTCAAGTGATCCTTCCACCTCAGACTTCCAAGCAGCTGGAACCACAGGCGTGCACCACCACGTCCAGCTAAGGTTTTGATTTATTGTAGAGACAAGGTATCACCCTGGTGCCCAGGCTGGTCTCGAACCCATGGGCTCAGGCAATCCTCCCGCCTCCGCCTCCCAAAGTGCTGGGATTACAGGCATGAGCTATCGCACCTTGCTCCACCTGCATTTATCATATGAACAGCAGCCACGGCCCATTTCCTCTGAGCCTGCACCGCTGGTACTGCTGATGGACACGCAGTGAAGACAAACCTGTATCTAACCAAGGAACACCATGAATCTGAGATAATTGTTCTTCAAATGTCCCAAAGACTACAGACTGTAGCTCTTGAGGTTATTAACCTCAACTTCAACTGATATTATTTAAGGGAATCTAGACTTGGTCATGGTTAAGAATCCAGCTGTCAGATGGTTGAGAGTTCAGATCCTGGTCTACCTCCTATGAGCTGTGTGAACCTTGGGCCAACTACTTACCCCTCCTGAGCCTGATTCCTCATTTGTAAAATGAGGTAATAAAAAATCTACATTACAGTGTTACTGTGAGAAATAAGTGAGATAGTATAGAACTGGTTCCAGAAATTCCCTCATACCAAAATCTGCAGAAGTTGGTCTCTTATATAAATGGCATAGTGTTTGCATATAACCTATACACATCTTCCTATATACTTTAAAACATCTCTAGAATACCTAACATAATGTAAATGCTCTGTAAACAGTCATTATACTGCATTGTTTTTAATTGTATTATTTTTTATTGTTGTATTGCTATTTTTAAAAAAAATATTATCAATTTGAGGTTTGTTGAATCCGTGGACATAGACACCACAGATATGAAGGGTCGACTGCACAAACAAAGGATTTAGTTCAGGACCCAGCACACAGACAGTGTTCAAGGAATGTCCACTAATAATATTTACGACTCATAAATGTTTGTAAAATGCTTCAGAAATATGCAGTAATAGCCTTGCATATTTCTGAAGCATTTTACAAACATTTATGAGTCGTAAATATTTAGCTTGCTTTAGTTCACGTACTAAAGCAAATTCTGTACATGAACAAAGCTAAATATCTCCCTCAAATGCATTTTTACTTTCTCTGTTTTAAGAGCAAAATGCATTTCCATCATATTTTTCTTGGACCTGGTACTAGCTGCCACATACATACACAGAAGTGAAAGTGAGCACTTGCCAACAATGACAAATCACCAGTCAAGAACTTAGCACCTTGAAATTATGATCAAATGAAATACAAAAGGTTTTCATGAAAGACTAAAAAATAACCATGTGCTTATATGATCCACTGAAGATTATTTGAAAACTAGCTTGTTTAAATATATTTGATGGTACAGAAGAATAATCTCTTTACCTAGCAAAATGAATGTCAAAGGTAACAAACAACAGAAATTTGGAAAATAAGGTTCGTATTTTTTATAAGTCACTACACTGTTTATTTAGCTCGTCTGATTATTTTTTATTTTTCTCTGTTGCAAATTGAGAAGTAGCTAAGATTCTCACAACGCTTTTCACCAGAGCATTTCCATCCACTGCTTTATTGCAGTGATTAGACTCTAATTCCATTGTAGTGGTACATAGTAGACACACTGTTGAGCTGATTATACTGATACTAGTGATATCAATTATTTTAATATTAGCAGCTAGGTCAATAATACGCAGAAAATCCATTACTATGTAAAACTGTAAACTAGGAAATGGAACTAGTGAAAATAACATTTATGAATTCTACACTTTGTCAGTTTATACTACTTTGTCCTCCCTGTCTTTAAGTCTTTTACAGGCTTGTTTCTATGTTTTGATAGCTTTTTGAGTCAATGAAAAAAATAATAAAGTATTCTATCACAAATTGGCATACAATCAGGGCAAGTCATTTAACCTCCCCAGTCCTCATCTGTAGGACCAAGGGCTAAACCTTACTTCCAAGTTCCTTTTGGGCTAAGACTCCAAGGTCGCTTTGAAAGAGCTCTATACTTCCCAGCCAACTAAAGTTCCCTGAGGTCCAGGATGACTTCCTACACTTTCTGCATGGCATCAATGTTCTGTACAGCAGCGAGAACTTCAGGTTTTTAACTCCCCCAAATAACCGCTTCCTTATTTCCATTAGGAAACGCAGCTAGAGCACTTCACCTTAATTCGCGTAGCAAGCTGGTCAGTGCAGTCATCAAAGCGAATGCAGTAGCCCACCTCATGGCCCAGCACCGCACCCCTTTCCTCAGCTACTCTCCCTGCAACCTTTGGGAAGAAAGATCATGCTGAAAATAGAGACATAGAAATTACTGCACAGAGCACATACTCTGGAAAATCTAAAGGTAATTTATTTTTAAGCAGTACATGAACACAGTGAAAAATGAAAAGGAGCAGGTTTTAGAGAATAAGCATGATAACTTTTGCAATTTATTAACATATATATCTCACTTCATTCTATAATGGTCTTGGGGCAACTTGTAAGAACATACACACAAAAATGAAATCACATAAAGATGTTACAGACCAAGATCAAAGAAATTACCGATAAAATTCAAAAGATTAAAGCCAATGAGAATATTTTAAAAACAGATATGCCAAAGTTACTTAAGTTGTGCCACAAATTCAGCTCTTAATTTCATGGCCAAAGCAAAAAGAAAAGTAAAAAAAATGACAAGACTGTCCCTGTTCCTAAAGAAAGAGCACACCAACCAACAACAACTTTTTATCTCCATGCTTTAAGATAAAGCCATCCCACTGCAACATGAAGACAGAAAAACAGGAATGATCAAATTCAATACTGAGCCAAGTTCATTTTCTCAATGAAGGCAAAAGTATAACGTTTCTAGAGCAAGATACATGAAACAATTCACCAAAACCACTAAAAGGGTAAATGAAGAAAAGAACTCACGTTTTTGTTTTTTTTAAGGGCAGATGAGTGGATGAGAAAAAGACAAAATAAGTAATATACTATGAAGACCATAAACTAGGGATAGAATTTCACACACCAATATATGACAAATAAAAGGTGAATGTAAGAAAGACAAAAAATCCAACAGCAAGATCCCTACTCCGAGCGGGGTGACTCACATCTGTAATTCGAGGACTTTGAGAGGCGGAGGCAGGATGACTGCTTGAGCCCAGAAGTTTGAGACTAGCCTAGGCAACATAGCAAGACCTCAGTCTCTATAAAATATTCAAAACATGGGCCAGGTGTGATGGTGCACACCTGTAGTCCCAGCTACTTGGGAGACTGAGCCGGAAGGATAGTCTGAGCCCAGGAGGTAGGGACTAGAGTGAGCTGTGATAGTGCCACTGCACTCCAGCCTGGGCAACAGAGTGAGACCCCAACTGAAAAAAGAAAGAAAAGAAAAAGTCTACTCAAAGGTGATTAACTTATTAATAGAAAATATTTGAGATAATAAGCAAGTATTAAAGCTGAAGAGCAATAATGCTTATTATTTAGTTTAACTTAAAAGCAAATAAGACATTTAACATTCACTGTATAAACCACCTAACTGAAGAACCAAAGAGAAACAATATTGATAGGGGTTTCCCAGGGACCTGGCACACCAACCCATGGGGAGGTAGAAATTCAGTCTTGCTCCTTCACATGCAAGGCAACCTCCCCAAACCCATCCCAGTTCCTGAGTCCTAAGCTGGGAAAGTGGCTGGCATAGGAGGTATCCTGAGGCAGAGATTACTGATCCAGCCTTTCCACCTCAGCAGCCCCAGACTCAGGGGCACAGAGATTCCCTGCATTCATCTTCTGAGACAACCACAACCAGGCATTAGCTGCCCAGTGGTGTTTAAGAAACTGAAGGCAGTCGGGCACGGTGGCTCAAGCCTGTAATTCCAGTACTTTGGGAGGCCGAAGCAAGAGGATTGCCTAAGCTCAGGGGTTCGAGACCAGCTTGGGCAACTTGGTGAGGCCTCGTCTTTACAATAAATCAAAAAATAAACCAGGCTTGGTAGCGCGCGCCTGTAGTTACAGCTTTTTGGAAGGTTGAGATGGAAGGATCACTGGAGTTCAGCAGGTCGAGGCTGCAGTGGCTGTGAGCGTGCCACTGCACTCCAGCCTGGGCAACAGAGTGAGACTCAAAAAGAAAAAAAAAAAAAAAAGAAATTGAAGGCAGATGAAGATCAGAAGTGGCTCTGCCTAGGGACTTGAAATTGCAGATCTGGGAGGTCAAAACCAAATCAACCACCCCACAGTTGGTCTACACTGGTTTTCAAAACATCTTTTGAAACCAGAAACTCATCCCACACTGCTCTACCTCTGTGGCTATATTTCTCAATAACCACCAATTCACTAGGACAATTTTTAATTGTTATTGTTTCAATTTCAACACTACATGTCCCTATGCTATAAATCTTGGAAAACTGTGCAAACAGAGAAGGTGTGCATAGAGATACGGGGAACTTATGGGGAAATAGGCTTGTAAGAATGAACATAAATACACGAATCCTCTCCATAAAAATATAATCATTTTATGAGTCTATGAGGCAAAAGCCAAACCTGTTCATTCTTATTACTTTACTATCTGTATACATTTGCTATAAAAAAGTATATAAGTTTCTAAAAAAAACTTATTTACAATCATACAAGGTCATATTCTATTGACTTTTTTAAAATATATTTTTTATTTTTTTCAGTCGGGGTCTCACTCTGTCACCCAGGTTGGAGTGCAGTGGCACAATCACAATTTACTGCAGCCTCGACTTCCTGGGCTCAGGTGATCCTCTCACCTCAGCCTCCTGCACAGCTGAGACTATAGGTGTATGATACTACACCCAGCTAATATTTTAATTTTTTGTAGTGACAAGGTCTCACTATGCCGTCCAGGCTAGTCTCAAGCTCCTGGGCTCAAGCAGTCCTCTCACCTCGGCCTCCCAAAGTGCTAGAATTACAGGCATGAGTCATTGCACCTGGCCTCCATTGACTTTTTAATAGATTTTAATCTCTCTTCCTTTAGTTCTACTCTCAATAACCTTATCAAGTGGACTGGACAAATATCTTTTTGACAGACTAGAAGGAAAAGGAAGTAAAAAAGAAAAAGAAAAGCCAATCATTGAACACCTACTGCTGGCGAGTGCTGTGCTCTATTGACCCTTTCACAAATTGTATCTCATTAAATATACACACAGCCCACAAGGCAGGCAAGACACTCACGTGTTTACAAATGAGGAAACCAAAATAAGACAGGTGTTGGAACCTGTTCTGAATCACAGGTCAAGGATGCCCTGGTCTTGAAGTCAAACCCAGACCACGTGAATCCAAAGAGTATACTCTTTATTCTCACAGAGATTAAGCAATGGCTTATGCAATCTGTTTTTAGGCTCTCAGATTGTTTTCCTATTTTAGTCTGCACACAAAGTACTTTCTGAGATGTAACATTTCAAACCTGACAGCTCTATTAATATTACATGGTTAATTTATATACTTTGTTCCTTCAAGAAAAAGTTTGTGGTTTCATGGAAATTATCCATGGCTACAAATTTAGAGCCATTCAAACTGATTAAGAGCTGGGATTCCAAACCACAAACAAGAAAAATTGCTCCAATTTTTAGGTAACTGAGTCATCTTTCAGTGATATAAAAGTTTAACTCTAGCATTACAAAGTTTCCAAACTCTTACCGCCATTTTCACTTTCACACACACACACACACACACACACACACACACACACACACACACACACACACATCCCTTGTAAAATGTTTATCAATAACCTCTAACTTGAACACCATCAGAAAATGGACTTTGGAAAAAAGGACTATGCAATAATTAAAACTCAACACAGAATAAAAATACCTTGGGGAAACAATTAATTTCTTATCCAGGCAAAGATGGCAAAATAAAGGCATTTTTGCTCCTATACTTCCTGTTCTCTCTTTCCCTCTCTCTTTTTTTAAAGAGACGTGGTCTTACTCTGCTGCTCAGGCTGGAGTCCAGTGGTACAATCACAGCTCACTGCAGCCTCAAATTCCTGGCTCAAGAGATCCTCTCCCTCAGCCTCCTGAGTAGCTAGGCCTACAGGCGTCTCCCACCACACCTGGCTAATTTATTTATTTATTTATTTGCTTATTTATTTTTAAGTGAAGTTCTCATTCTGTTGCCCAGGATGGAGTGCAGTGGCACAATTACAGTTTACCACAATCTCAAATCCTGGACTCAGGCAATCCTTCTGCCTCACCCTCCTGAGTAGCTAGGACTACAGGTGCATGGTACCCACAACCAGCTTATTTTTTTATGTTTTTGTAGAACGAGGTCTCACTATGTTGCCAAGTCTGGTCTCAAACCCCAGCCTCAGTGATCCTCCCATGTCAGCCACCCAAAGTTCTGGGATTACGGTGTGAACTACTGTGGCCAGTTTTTCAAGACCAAATTAAAAACAACAAAAGAATTAAAACATATTATCAACAAAAACTCTATCTTCAATGAAAGAAGAAAAGAGTCACAATCTCAAGCAATAAGTCAGGAAGCACAGCTGCCAGATACTGTGAGGTCTCAACCCAGAAAAAAGGAGGTCCAGACCTCCTTATACCAGCACAGACCGCTGGTCTCCATAATGTAAGTGTCACCCCCTAAAAGGCAGGGCCACCAATCCTTGTATTAGAAATAAAAGAAGTGGCAGTGTGTCCAGGCCAAGGAGTCATAGGAAATATGACAATAGTAGCCCATTTTTATAGCAAAGAATCATGGGGAGAAGATTAGAAGAGGGAAGGCAGGCAGCAAATCCCAACTCAGAGCCTGAAAATTTTCATCCTGAGACATTTGACCTCTCAAATCAAAGAGGATAAGAGCATTGGCAAGAAGTTGTGCATTATCCAGAATACCATACACAGTCTCACAATTCCGCAGCAGCATATTCAAAGATAAGCAGCTATCATATAAGTACCAGCACAAGCCCATTGCATGAAAGGTGACCAAGAATGGAGGAAAAGGACATGAGAAAAAACAATTTAAAAATAAACTTTAAAAGGATTATCCAAAGAAACAGAAGTAGAATTCAGCCAAAGAAATTCAGTTTCAAATAAATCACAAGCTTAAGCTAAAAAGAGCTTAAGCAAAGAGACACGGATTCAAAAGAGAGTCAAGGAGAAACAAGATCTGAAATGAACAAGCCAGACGCCAGTCTGGGGAAGTCTTCCAAATCTCACAGCTTGGACATGAAAGAACCTAGAGGTTTCCCCAAATTTAAGAACAATCCCCAAAATGTACACAATGCTACAAATCACAAATTACAAAACTAAAGAGACTTTTCTACAGTGTCAATAATAAAAAGCAAATGTGAATTAAGCATACAAGAGGAAAGAATAAAATGTTGATCTACTCCTATATAGGAAAAAATAGAAAATCCGTTGTTATGTTAAGAGGTAAATAATGGAATGCAATCAAAAACTGCAGAGAAAAAAGGTTTACAGGAACGTGTCAGGCAGTTAGTTGATAAAAAAAAATACTCCGTTATTTTTCTGGATTTTTTTCATGTTTATGGCATTATCAGTTTTTAAAATTTGTAACATATTATAATTCTCCTCTTATTCTAAATATGCACTTCTTTACCTATTAAAAAAAGAAAAAAAATTCAAAGAAGTAATTGTGAGACTAAGATAGAGAAGTAGAGGAACCAAAATAGAATAAATTTTACTAAAAAAAAATCACAAGCATTGTAGATAGACTTGAAGAAATTCCCCAAAAATCTGGAGAGAAACAGATGATTCCAGAGATGGTGACAAATACTAAATACAGACAAAGGAAATTCAACATATGCTTAATTGATGTTCTCAGAAAAGAGAATAAAATAAATGGAATAGAAAAAATATGCCAAGAAAAGTTCCCTGATATAATGTTAGCTTTGAACCTCAAGATTAAGAGTTTTTTCAAGTTTAAGAAAAAGTGAAACAGAACAATCAACATCAAGACATATCCTGGTGAAGAAGCAATCTTACAAACACTCAAGCAAAAAAGTAAGGCATGAAGGCAGGACTCCAGATTTCTAAACAGTGATCCTCAATTCCAAAAGGCAGTGGAGCAAAATCTACAGTGTGAATGAAGAGTGTAAATGAAGGATTTTATATCAACAGAACACAAGTGAACACTTAAACATGTAAAAATAAGTTACAGAATGATAAAATTAATTAAGCCAGTCAAGAAATAAAGCAAGCAATTCAGAGTTGGCAAAACCCTGGAAAATAATGAGTAATGAGCATTCAATCCATTTAAGCTAAAATCAGGGTTAAGTTACTGTGGGAATTAGGATTAAGAATCTATATGTTATAAATCCTGAAATGAAAATGATAGGACTATATCTACAACAAGTGGAGGGAGCAAAGGTGGAAAGAATAATTTCTCCTCTTTCATAATAGGAAACTATAACATGTAGTTCAAAATATAAGTAATATCCTGAAGTTTTTTGTAGTCTTGTTTCTTACTTTTCAAGTTTTAATAAATTCTCTTGTGATGAACAAACGTTTATCCAAAGTTTAGTAACTACTCCTATTTCACTCAGTTTCTTACTTTATTAAATTCCACAGAAGTAAATATATGATTACAATCCCATTTTTATAAAATTATTTCTATCTAGTCACTCAACCATTCATCTTTATCTTTAAGAGAAGCTTTCAAATGATGTTAACAAACGTTCACAATGGGTTTGCTGGATGGTGAAATTTTGGGTCTAAAAATTTTTTTTGTTTTATTTATATTTCCTCAGCACTTTATTACTTAAAATTTTCACAATGTGCAGGTACCAATTTACAAAAATATTCAAATCACAATTTTTTTAAAACTGCAGAACAAAATTCTTAAGCAGTATCTTCTATTCATTTGGAGCTTTAGGAAAATGAAAAATTAAAGAAGTCAAAAAGTAGAAGATACAGATGGGGCAACCCCCTCGGGTCCCCTCCTACTGTGGGAGCTTTTCTGTCCTCTCGATAAATCTTGCTTTCTCACTTAAAAAAAAAGAAGAAGAAGAAGAAGAAGAAGATGCAGATAGAAACTTTGCAAAACAAAAAGCAACTCACTGTAACAGCAGCCACCCTCCGAGGCTGGGTCACTCCCACCACTCTTCCTTCAGCTGTCCAGCCAGCTTCTGCAAGGTACTACAAACAAAATCACACCTGAGTATCCATGTGACACCACTTTTCCAAAAACAATCTCCTCAAAATGTCCCTGTGTTAAAAATCACTGAGAAAGGAAACAGCACCATTCTTATCCCATTAGGACTTTGGAAATTATTTTACAGATGAAGGATCTGAGGTTTAGAAATGTTAGGTAATTTACTTAAGTTCACATCAAAGCGATAAACAGAAGAATCAAGGCACAAAGCTAGCATTCTACCTCCTCAGTCCTACAAAATCTCCATGTACTACGTACATTATCCATGGATCACTCAAAACAGTGCTAAATCTATAGAACAAATCATTTCATTTATTTTTTTATTTTTATTTTCTTTGAGTTGGAGTCTCACTCTGTCGCCCAGGCTGGAGTGCAGTGGCACACTTACGGCCACCCCAGCGCCAACCCATTGGGCTCCAGCAATCCTTCCGCCTCAGCCTTCAAAGTAGCCAGAACTACAGGCATGTGCTATCACTCCCAGCTAATTTTCTAGTTATTGTAGAGATGAGATCTCGCCAAGTTGTCCAGGTTGGTCTCGAACTCGCAGGATCAGGCAATCCAAGAACAAATAATTTTAAAGCACACACAGTTGACTGCTCAATATAAATATCAACCACAGAACACATTTTTGTCGAATTAAATAAAAACAATTAGATTTCATATATATAAATATATGCCATTAGATTATGTTAATACACACATATAAAATTTTATTAAATGTACTTACCTGATTTATTAATGTATTTATTTGATATATATGTATTCAACTGGTTATATGTACACTTAAAATCCAATATGAATAACAGTGGTTATCAGAGTTAACAAATTTTTCTAAAGTCTAATTGTTTTGCAATGAATATTTATGACTTCCATAATACAAAAAAGGATTTAAAAAGCTACTGCAGGTATCTGCTCATTTGTTCAAAAGAAATAAAGGAAGGATAGATATTATGGAGACTAAAGAAAATGGCTGTCTACAGGGAATGGGTGGGAAACGTGCGGAGAGAAGGGGAAATGGAAACAATAATAGGGATGACGAGGGGGTGGCAATGCTCTAGACAGATATTTGGTGTGGCTCTGACTCTTAGAACCATAAGTCATGTTTCACATTCTCTTCAATACCTGAAAGACAAATAAAACCAACCAGGATGTGGAGGGAAACCAAAAAGAACCACAAACACTAATAAAGGATCCTTTCTTTCTGTATTACAAATCAATAATATAACCACACTGAAAGGGTTATTACTAACCCAAGTAATGATGGAAACTGGTATCCTGACTGGGTGCTGTAAGGCTAAAGACAAAAAAAAAAACTATACATAAATGCTGTTACCTAGTTAGTAAATATTAGTAAATACCCAGACAGGGCTATGGGTTGGCAATTGTGCAACTATTTTAATAAATATTTTAGTATTTTGTAGATAATGAAGACTGAGTTTCTCACTCTTGGAGAAAAGCTATAAATTAAAAGGCTAAAATTAGCCCTGTAGTATCAGATTGGAATCATAAGGACCAGCATAAACTCATGGTGTTTTATGCAGATACAGATAGCTAGATGCTTTTATATGTACAGTCTAATAGTCATGCATCTATTTCCTAAGTCTACTCACTGCGACTCATACAATGACATCTCAGTATCAACAGCATCCTAGCATCCAGATCATGATTTCTAAATACCACTCCCCAATAAAAGGAGCCAGGGATTGTGCTGGGAAATATCAGATAAGCTTGAAACATCTTGTCATACTGGAAAGTGAGGAAGTGGTCCAAGAAAAGATGGAGGCTTTTAGAAAGAAAACAGAAGCCAAAAGGAAGGAGCTCATAACGATCAAAGATGACATTATTTGAGATTGGACTTTAACCTATAAGAAAAAAAAGTATGAATCTATATTAAAATATACATATAACCTAATAAATAAATAAATGAGGGCAAAAGGATTATTCTTCCTGACAGAGGATTCCAGGTAGAGGGAAAGAGGAAAAAAATACAGGTAGAGGGAAAGAGGAAAAAAAAGAAAATCATCACTGCTGGTGACAAGATCTACTGAGGGATGCTAAAATTAATTGGTGAAAGAAGAAAAGCAGAATATTTGCAGTCTGAAAATACTGCCCCCAAGATATACATTCACTAAAAAGGGAAAGACAGCTTCACTGATGAAACCTGGCAGCTTAACCAAGTGACCAAGGTTAATATCACCAGTGTTAAGACACATCAACATCACAAACCTCATGATATCATGCACTAAGAAAGACACAATATCATTTCTGTAGTATTCTTGTCAAAAATGCATAAGCAGCGGCTCACACCTATAATCCCAGCACTTAGGGAGGCCAAGGCAGGAGAATTGCTTGAGCTTAGGAGCTCAAGACCAGCCTAGACAACATAGTGCTGACTTCATCTCTACAAAAAAATTAAAAAATTAGCCAGGCATAGTGGTACACCTGTAATGCCAGCTACTCAGGAGCCTGAAGCAGAAGGATCACCTGAGCCCAGGAAGTGGAGGCTGCGGTGAGCCCATAACTATGCCACAGCACTCCAGACTGGGTAACAGAGTGAGACCCGACTCCCCCCCCCAAAAAAAAAAAAAAAATTAAAAATGCATAAGCTCCTTCTAATCATAAGAAAACATGAAATAAACTCAAATTGAGAGATATTCTATGAAAATAATGCCTATTATTCTTTTAAAGTGTCAAGGTCATGAAAGATGAAGAAAGTCTAAGGAACTTTCACAAACTGGAGGAGACTAGGGAGAAATAACAACTACATGTAATGTAGTCTAAAATCAGTTAAAAATAAAGTTTAAAAATGACTGTAAAAAGCAAATTATTGTAGATAATGTAGATTTTTTTGCTATTAAAAACTATAGCCGGGCTTGGTGGCTCAGTTTGTAATCCCGTGCCTTTGGGAGGCTGTGAGTAGATTGCCTGAGCACGTGGGTTCGAGATCCGCCTGGGCAGCGAGACCTCATCTCTACAAAAAATCAGCCGGGCGTGGTAGCGCATGCCTGTAATTCCAGCTACTTGGAATGCTGAGGCAGAAGGATTGCCGGAGCCCAGCAGGTCGAGGCTGCGGTGGCCGGGAGCGGCCACTGCACTCCAGTCTGGGCGACAGAATGAGACTCCAACTAAAAAAAAAAAAAAAGAAACTATAAAGTTCTCTTATATTAAATACATATACATATACAAAATACCACCCCAATCAACACAAATATAAAAACAAAACTACAAGAATAACAGCTAAGATGCACTGAGCATCTTACTAAGTGCCAAAATCCATGCTGAGGACCTGACATGCACTACCCCAATTAATCCCCGCAACAAATCCTATAAGGAAGGTAGCATCACCATCAATACATAGATGAGGAAACAGAGTTCACATAAGGAAATAGACAAAAAAATGGAATTCAAGCTCAGCAAACCAAAGCCATGACACATAACCAGGACACAATGTACCATCCAAATTCAAACATAGCCAATCTCTGAGCAGCAGTGTTAAATGAAAGAAAAATAATTTCCATAAAAAGAAACAACCTGTCCATGATGCTAGTCACCTCAACACACTATACAATTCAGACTTCTACTGCATACTTATAACACTGAAAGGTAGAATTCTAAAGATACTGAAAAAGTAGACATCATGCTGAGGTCAAGGGGCAGAGGGGTATCATGGAGGAAGCTGAATTCCGTCTCAGTTCTCTATTCTTTTAAAAGATCACCAAAGCTGGTCTTCTAGTTAAAGGACAGAATTAGGAATAACCTCACCAATAACAGTACTAATTAAAACTCTAGTTAAGAAGATGGTTCATTTTTTTTTCAGAGCTCTAGTAAAAAAAAATTACCTAGGGTTCACATGCGGTTCATGGAATTTTAAAACCACCAAGTATGTGGTGCATTAGCATGCTGTACTTTTCCAAGGAAAGGTACCATATAAGTCTAGTATAAACAGTTTGTTGAGAAAAACCTGCTCCATATCCTTGCTATAACCCTCAGTTCTCAGCCTTTCCAACTTTCCTAGGCCATAACTCAAATGCCACTTCATGGTAAGTTGGAAACAGTGACGCTCTCAGAGAAGGGGAACTGAGTGGCTAGGAGAAAAGGGAATAATCCTCCACAGAAGGAGTATAATCCAGTCATTTTAAAACAGTAAAGCTTTGGAGATTAACCTTTCACCATTCATTCCTTTGTTTTTGAATTCTGTACTATGTAAATACATTTCCTATTCAAATAAAAAGTGCCTATAATAATACACAATTCCTTAAAATAATAAAATTCAAATGCACGTGTGCTTTGGGCCAACAACTCCACTATGTTTATCCTATAAATATAACCTATACTTAAATATAACCACTATGTTTATCCTATAAATATACATATATATGTGCAAAATGATATATGTGCAAATTGACTGCATCATTGTGATAACACAAAATTGGAAACACCCTGAATTCCATCAACTGTAGAGTGGTAAAATAAATTATGTGCACATATTGGAATCTATGGAACTGAAATAAGAATGATACATTATGTGGAAAAAAAGACAAAGCATGGAGGCAACATATGCCTGACTTCAAAATATACCACAAAGTTCAAGTAACCAAAACAGCATGTTTGGTTGACATAAAACAGACACATAGACCAGTGGAACAGAATAGAGAACCTAGAAATAAATCCACACATGTACATCCAACTGATTTGCATCAAACGCACCAAGAATACACCTGGGAGAAAGGAGTTTCTTCAATAGATGGTGCTGAAGCTGGGTGTAGTGGCACACGCCCATAGTTCCAGCTACTTGGAAGGCTGAGGCGGAAGGATCACCTAAGCCCAGCAGGTCAAGGCTGCAGTGGTCGTGAATGTGCCACTGCACTCCAGCCCGGGTGACAGAGTGAGACTCCAACTCAAAAAATAAAAATGGTGCTGAAAAAACTGGATATTCACATACAAAAAAATGAAACTAGACTCCTATCTTTCCCCATATGCAAAA